AGTTAAATCCAAATGGCGTCATAACTATGGTTTACCAGGTGTTAATGGTTGATCATGCAATTCCAAACCTGGTAATTTTTGTTTTTTTGACATTGAATCTTTGAGTCAACCAGACCATGTATGGTGTTGAACCTGCAGGAAGCACACATCTATTAATAAATATTAGATTATGTCACTGTGTAATCCCTTGTAACAAATACATTATATTTTTATTTTTAGGTTTGTATTTCAAAGGGCTTGTTTGGTATTTTAATTGTTTGGCATGTTTCATTAAGAATTCCTTGCATGTGTATTTGTGATATCCTAAAACAGGGTTTTTTTTAGTAGCACTGTTTTGTCATTGAAGGGTCTGTTTCATTGTTTTTATCATGAAAAAATGGTTATTCTATGTTTGAGCAATTTTATGACAAATGTATGTTTTTAAAGGGTATATATTGTTTTGTGTTTTGGTTATTTGACTATATTTAACCATTTCATATATTGTGTATATTGCCCAGAGCTCCTACCCCCTCATATTGCAACTGGGGCAAATATTTCCCATTCTCATTCAAAATTGCTGCACATGATGTATGGGAGTAAAATGAGTTGGAAAGTATTTATTGGCATCCCATCTAATGTTGAAAGCAACAAGATGCCTAAGCGGAAGGTACAACAACTGCATGCTGGCCAAACAGTGAGTAGTAACCATGATGGATGTGCTTGACTCGTATAGCTTAGAAGATGATGAAAGTAAGTCAAGTGGTGTTCAAATGTGTGATGATGAAGAGGCAATGAGACAAGTTAATGTTAGTTCTCCATCTAGTGATGATAGTCAAGAAGATGAACCTGGACCCAGCAGAGGAAGGCGTAAACAGCGTCAACAATGGCAGCGTGAAGGGGTGGGAGCATTGGGAAATATACGTCCCAGTTGCAGTGAATGGGTTAATAATCATCATTAAAAGGTTTACTTTTTGTGTCATGTATGTAATCAGTTAAAAGTTTTCTCTTAGTATGTGCGTGCTTGCATATGTTTCAAAAGGCATTATTCTCATGTGTACTTTTATACTGTATTTTTGTTGTTAAAGGGCTGTGACGTCAGTGTGGAGTGTAAGTGTTTTCATGTGCAAGAGAAGGTTAATTCGCTCCTCGACCAGATTTATAAGTTCTATTGTTTTATGATTAAAGTTAATTGTCAGCCTGAATTAAGGAATACAGGAAAGTGTGGTATGTGAACACACCATGTATTTCTATCTTCTTGTAACATTATAATATCTATTCTATATTGCAAGTTTCACATAGCAAGCCATTACATTGATTTTGTTCTAGTTACCCTTATCTTCAGTGGATTATATTACTACAATACTTCACCTTGTGCAATATCACTGACAGCAGTGTCCTTCAATGGCCATTCATTTAGATTGTCTAAAAGTTATGGCTTCACCTATGTTGTAATGAGAATGACCAGACACATGGCTTTGGATAAATGAGCCATGTCTTGTGAAATAAAGAACATTGGATTTAGACAGTCTGGTGGATGTATTCAACTTGAACAGTTGAATAAAGAATGTTTCAGTAAAAATGATCATTCTGTGTAAGTACCAGCATGTACACACACACTGTGTTTGTGTTTTATTGTGATAATATAGATTGTTCATTTTGTATTTCACTTTCTATCCAGAATAATTATTCATGTAATATCACATACTGGCTAGTAAGAGATTTAATATTAGTTTGTGATTGATATCATTAAGTGAACCTATCTGATAGCTCAAAGGTTGCCTCAGTTTTGGCTGAATATACCAAAGTAATAATGTTGTCTAATTAACTATTATTTTTATAACTTAACATCTATGTTACTCTTTAAAACATGGCTATTGTTCAATGCTTCTCAATACAGATTGTGTACTAAATGATTTTGATTTACAAAATGACTAGTTTGGTACATAATGATTAAACTAGAACAATTACATAAAATTAACTGATAAAAATTTAATATACAATTATTCACATGCAAGTAGTGGCATTTTCAAGACAAAATGAATAATACTTTAAATCTTCTAAACCTAAAAACATAATTATCCATTATCTTAGGAACTAAATTTTGAATAAGAATTTAAAAGCATAATATTAATTAACCTTGAAAATTGTTTTTCACAATAAACCAACAATAAGCAATCAACTCAGGTAATCAATGTAAATATTCATTAATTTCATGTCTCAGGAATACATGCAATTTAGAATATTCAGTAACAACCATTAAAACTACATAATAATCTTCATATAATCCATAATTTACTCATTTCACTGTTTTCTATATAGCAATTCCAACAAGATGAAAAACCCTGCGAATTAGGAAGTTAATTTCTTCAAAGTCCTATCTGACAGTAAAAAAAAAAAAACTTTACTTCAATAACAGTATGAATTGTTTCACTTGGTTTTTACTCTTCCTTTGACACATTTTAATATCAAAACAAAAATGTTCCAATGAAAACAACCATATGCATATACATTTCTATTAATGTAGATAAAAGAACAACCTATATCTCTGGAGATATAGGTTACTTTATTTATATTAATAGAAATGTCCAGTAAATACCTCCAGTTTGCATTAAACAAAGTAAAGAATATATATATATATATAAACACACACAATACATACAAAACATATTTTAAACTAGTAGTGACTAGAGTTAATAAAATAATGTATAGAAATGAAACACAATGTGACCAACGTTATAAAATATGCTAAAAACTGTTGATTTTTAACCAGAAAAGACACAAACATAGTTGGAAAAACTGAATCAGTTATTTTGATTCTAATATATAACATTACTATTTGTCCTATACTTAAAAAACAAAAAATCTAAAGAGCCAAACATTAAAATACTTTCAATTAATTTAAAGACAGAAATTACTCTATAATATGCTACTCATAAGTCATAATAAGGATAGTAACATTACCCTGTGTAAATTTTGCAAGAGCAGTAAAAAGTAGTCTAATGTAAATGGTAATATGTCAACAATCCTAAGAACAACGAATATGTTGTTACAACTTCAAAACTTGCATACTGTAGTTAAGCAGTTAATTTTGTCAGCATCCAACAAAGTATGTAATCAGTAGATGCTACAAAAAATACTCTCCATAAATAAAGTTACTAAATCATGCCAACAAATAAATATTACAATCAATTTGATAGGTCTCAAATGAAATCTCAGTATTCAGCATGAAAATTATGTTTTGATATAATAATAAACTATAGGAATTAATAAACATAGTACATTGTGACACATTTGTCTAACCATCAGTAATTCAAGTTGCTTCAGATACAGATATGATAAATTCATTAATGCCACAGTGACCTAAGTATTAAAAATTACCCATTCAAGTCCTGTGACACAAAATATAAGCATTCATAAATTAATTAAAAATTTTTTAACACTTCCGTAAACATGCACAGTATTGAACAATACTTCATATACTAAAGATATAGAATGCTTATAATAACCTGCATTTTTCAATTTCCAAAATTACAATAACAACAACTTTCCTCAATTGAATTTCACTTCTCATTCTATACTAGGAGTGTATCTATTTCTTTATGCGATTATACTCACTGTTTCATTACCACCAAGTGTTACTTTTATTACTTGAAACAAACAGGAAGATATATTTCACATTAACAGTTATAATGCATGTTGCTCTACTCTTGCAATGAACGTTTTTAGTTTTTCATTAATTATAACTACATGTCTATTATTCAAAAGAAATACTGATTTTAATGTACTTTTGAAACATTTAACAGTACACTTAAGTAATCTAGTATACTGATTATCATCACCTTCCTTACTTATTGTGCTTGTTCTTCACACATCATATCCAGATGGAGAGTCTACAACTACAAGACTGTAGGAAGGAGGAGCCATGTTAATAGAACCAGAATGTGTATCATCCTCTGGATCAGTAAACACAGAATCACTAAGCTTTTTCCTCTTGGTGACTTTTTGATTATCATTGTCTGTTCCTCCCATAAACAAATAATCAGGAATGTTGCTTTCATTTAGGGCCATTTCCTCAGGGTTGACCTCTGGAATACATGCCATTCTATCATGCCATGTGTCTCCGACAGATTCTAACTGGATCATGGGAACAACTTCCATGGGTTCTTTTGGAGCTGGACCATCTCCAACTGGTCGACATGTGCTGATGTTGTCATAATGGCTCCTAGGATCTGATAACCTGGCTTCAGGTTCTTTGGAAGCAAGCTGATCATTTTGTCTCATGTTAGTGTAGTCTGTATTTGTTCCTTCCATTGTTAGGTAATCATTATTATTGTGAGAAGTTTCATTCATCATCAAATAAGGGTTGTTCAGTTCAACATAGTACTGGAATGAAAGAAAAGTTTTACTACAATAATATACAAAATTCCTTAAAATTTTATAAATCTGAGGTAACTTAACTTTTTTTTCTATCTCCTGCATGAACAATTTGAATCCAGAACAGTTGCAGTAAAAGCAAGTGTTTTACTGTTGGATATACAAAACTGTTTAGTGTAAGAGTTATTGTTCAGTTGATTTAGTGATTTAATATTTAATGATTATTTAGTTTCCATAACAAGAGTGTTAAAAGTTAATTATTTTAAAAGTAATAGTTATCACAGATTTCATTACGCAACTCGGTAAAAGTCGTACATTGTGTGTGTAGTTCAATTGTTGTAGTATTGTTGATGTCATCTTTCTTGACACCTCTAAGTTTTTCTCGGTATGTGAGTATTTTTACATCATAGCATCTCCTAGTTTGTAGAAAGTTCTAGGCCTTAGTTGAAAAAGGTATATTATATATAGGTGACCAAGAGAGCACAAGTCAAGTGACGTTCTGTGAGAAAAAAAAGTTAGAAAATGTGAAGTTAGCCAGTGTGCGAGTGGTTAGCCTTAATGGGTGATATCTTAAATTGAGTTTCACACTTTAACAGAGATAAGGGGAAGCATTTGTCTTGTCAAAGGGAGTCCTAAAGACTTGCCTGCATGGACTATGATGAAAAGGAGACAATTATTTAAAGTTCAGGATACAACTGTGGAAACCAACAGAGTAACTTAAGTGAATTATTCACTGATACTATTATGATAAGAGTAGAGAAAAACAATTTGTCTTTTCAATTGGGTTCTAAAGTAACTGAATCAGCCTGTGTGGACTTTTGACAAGAAAAGTATTTAGAATTTTAGATAAAACTGTGATTTCCTATAGTGTAAAGGATTTTTGTATATACGTTTGACTTATTTTGAATATATATATTATTTTAAAACAAATGCACTGTGTGTTGTCTGTTTACTTTTTAAATTTATCGCCAACAAGTCACAGACACCTACTATAGAAGAATCTCAGCCTATTCATATCTAAAACCGTGGCATTTACAAAGTGAGTTAGAGGGATAACTTACTACCAATTGTTAGCAAGGAATTTTCTAGCAACTCAAAAAACTGCATTATTTCCCTCTCAATAGCAAGGCCCACCTTCAAGCCTTATGTCAGGGTCATGAATTCACAATTAGTTGGGTGTCAATTTTTTAAAATAATTTCCTCGTCTCAGTATCGAGCCAAAACTTTTTGAAAGCCACCAAGTTAAAGCTCCAGCACTTGTTAATAAAACACTTTCTAATAATTCAAACAACCACAAAACTATGCTAAATTTAGATTTAATAACAAAAACCAGTTCAAGTTAATATTT